GTCGTAACACCACCACAACCTCCACACTCCTAGACCAAGCAGACCGAACAATATAGGGGTCGTAACACCACCACAACCCCCACACTCCTAGACCCAGCAGACCTAACAACAAAGGGGGTGTAAATACCACCACAACCTCCACACTCCTAGACCCAGCAGACCGGAGCTCTCCGCATTGTGTCAGTAACTCAGATGTAGGTGAACAACCGTAGCGAGAGAATGATTTACGCTAAAAACAAACCTGAAGGAAGTAGAGAGAAAATCTTTAAAATAAAGAATTATATAACAATATACTACAATGACTTCGCAATCTCCAGGCTTTTGTTTCATAAATATGCATACATGATAATTAAAATACCATTTAAATGAAAGCAAAAAAATGTAAACAAAAAAGATATTTTTAACAATACATTTGGCGTATAATCTGTAAACGAGCAAAAGTGCACTTCAGAACAGAGCTCTCCTAACTGGGGCGTCAAAAGTATCTTAATTATTAATAAACTCTTGAGAAATCTTAAGCATTAGCCTTCTTAAGCATTAGCCTTCTAACATTTTTTTGTCACTCAGAAATAATAATAAGCGTTGCCCCTACATTTGTAATCAATAAACGCCGCTAGTGTTGTCAAACAGTTACAAAATGTTGAACCAGTTTGATGGAGATGTCCAATGATTTCATTTAAGGCGACAAACTGTTTCACCCTTCGGCCAACTTGGTTGTAAAAGGAACAGGCCTATCACAGAGAATACAATTTACTTTCCCTTAATTTATTTGTCATGTACCGTTAAACGGTTTTCAAGATTTAATATGTTTCAAGATTTTGCTCGTAGAATGAACAATGCGTGACAAAGGACTGAAAATCTGTACAGCAAAGAAAACGATACCAAAATCTAGTGATAAAAACAATATTCAAATTAATTATACTATTAAATTTCTATAAAATGCAAATTTAAATATACTTACTACTACATCAACTTACAGCGCAGCAAGAGAAAAGATCCAATCTTAACGAACAAACAAAATATTAGTTACACACACGCATAAAGGGTACAATCTTGCTATTATATAACGTCTCGTATATGTCTAGGAAACATAGCAAAAATATCTCTCACGACTAGGAAAAGCTGCTGGCCTATTTTTAAAGATTAAATCAGAACCCGCCAGAAAAAGGAATTCTAGACGTTGCCGGATTAAATCAGAAAAACAAAAAATTCCAGAAAATGCCGGAACGGATAGCAATCTTTTAAACAAATAGAAGTTATTCAACGTAAACAATCTTTTCCCAATCAAGGGAGGGGTAGAGCTACCCATCACATTTACTCGACGACGTCAGTATCAAGACAAAACAAATGGGAGACAAATCGTAGTGGCCACAAGGCTAAAATTTGGCTGACACACATGCCCTAATATAGTACTTCAAAAATGTGGTTTGATATCAAAATGACGCCCCTGTCATAGGGCGTTCTGGAAGTTGTCTGCTTTGGCTGTATCAATGGCCGGCTCTGGGGGGGGGGAGGCGTGTAAGGAGATGTTCGAGGAACGAGTATCAGTAGGGCAGAGCTGCAGCATTCCCCTACTAAAATCAGGACATACGGTCAGCTTTTCACGTGAGATAGAACCATCACCAATGACGGAAAACGTGTGTCTGTAAAATATAACATTTCATAACATAGTTATTTGAAATTATGAAGTGGTTGATGCCAGACAAGAAATTGATCATGACACATAGAGCGATCTTAAGGCTAAATATTCGGTTGTAACGCTGTAGCGATGATCCTAGTGATGTATGGGGGGGGGGGGGTGTCAGTGGCATTGCTAGGGTTAGTGCCACACGGTACGGGTAAAGAATTTTCTGCACCCTTTTACACAAAACAAATAACAACATCATCACATCTGTACGTGGCCGAAAATGCCGCCCGGTATTAAAAGAAAGAAACAACGCACCTCTCTTCCTAAGCCCCCCCCCCTGTTTTAAATATCTCATTAGAATAATATATTGTATTATCCTTATTTTCTTAATGTTGACAATGAAGGGAGACACTACGAGATTGTCCATACATTGTTGTCAACTTTTTCTTTAGCATTGTTAATGTTGCATTATTAGCATGATTAATTTTGTGTTACCCCAAACATTTTTTTGTGCATTTTTACATTTTTTTTTAAAAATGTAATTGAACACCTTACTTATAGGTTTACACGGAATTAAGTTTTAATTTATTATGTCACTAAAATGGTATTCATATATGTGGGGGAGTGTGTTTATGTGTGTGTGTGTGGGGGGGGCGGGGGCTCAGATATATTTAATGGTGTCATTCACTGTCACCATGATCTCTCAACGGTTTACAAGTTATCTAAAGATATGGGGGATACACAGCTGCTAATCTCAAAATGATAAAAAAAAATAATAATAAAACAAACTACAAAGCGTCTCATTCATCAAACAAAACATTTCCTCCTTTTGTTTTCGTAAGGGGGCTAGGCTGCAGCTGTACACCGTTTGACTGCGTACTCACCCTAATGTACTCTGTTGTACTCTCTTACAAATAATTTAAAATGTAATAACAATTTTCGGCGATTGCTTGTAGCAATAATAACAGTTGTAATATTCTTAATATTGATTTTAAGACGCGCGTTCCTTTTTTTTTTTTTTATTATTGAATACCCCCGTTTAGGCTTAAAACGTGAACTCTAAAACTCAGGCAGTTATTGGACTTAACATCAAAGGTTGTCCAATAAGACTTTTATCAGTCGTATCTACTCAAAAACACACACTCACAAACCCAACCACC